ACAATTCAAAAACTAAGGTCTTCATCGCTGCTGTTCCTGATGGGAGACTTCAACGCAAAACTTGGGAAACGACCACCCAGTGACTGCCACTCCGTATCCTATGCTGGTTCACACTCAAGGGGCCATCGCAACTACAGCGGCCAGACTTTGGCTGATTTCGCGTCCAGCAATTACCTATTTGCCTGTAACACGGCGTTTCAGCACCATGCAGAACATATCACCACATGGACAGGCTGGCGCCACAACCCTAGTGGAGGTCCACCTTTACCCATTTACAACCAAATAGATTATATCCTTTGCCGTCACAGTGAAAGGTTTGTGGTGACGGATGCCAGATCATACGCCGGGACAAGCTTAGAAAGCGATCACCGTCTTGTGCTGGCAAACCTCAACCTGACTAAGTTGTACAAGAAGCTCAAGAGGCCGCCAGTAGCCATATCCAGCAACGCAAAATTCAATATATCGGAATTTAGTGACCCGACCAAGAAAGCAAAGTACAGAGAGGCTATCAACGAACATCTACAGGACCTCGGCAGAGAGCAGGAAGGTGTCAATGCGGAGCAACATCTGCAGTATATTGTGAACGCTATGAGTGAGGCAGCAAACACATCGGTGGGCCGCGTCCCTAAAACAAACAAGACGCATAGAAATGGCTTCAGCGGGGAAATTGAAAAGCTAGCAGCAGAGAAACGCAAACTGCGTCTCGACATTACGGTGTGCAGAGATGGAACGAAGGTAAAAGAAATGAAGACGCGACGCAACAGGCTGGCACACCAAATTCGCCGGGAATGCCTCAAGTTAGCATCGACTCGACTGGACGAACGTGTAGCTGAAATAGACCAAATGAAAGACGACGCGAAAATGTTCAAAGCAACACGACTACTGCGCCGACAGCAGCAGTCACCAGTTGTGGTTGAAGACTCTGATGGCAAACTCATTGCACAACCTAGTGAATCAGTCGAAGCATTAAGGCAACACTTCCGTGCTATATTCTGTGATCCTGCTCTGGAGTCATCTAGGCTCTTACGGACAGAGGAAGACCTTAAAAACCCTATAAAGCAGCCAGAGGTACATGCCGCAGCTAAGCGCTTGAATAATGGCCGAGCTTCGGGACCAGATGGGATACCTGCTGAACTTATCAAATATGGAACACCAGCACTGTTCTCGAACATTGCCACTACATTCAACAATTATGCCAAAGACAAATCACTCAAGCTAGGCGATGGGCTACTGATCCCGATACCAAAGCCGGGAAAGAAAAGAGGTCCTCCTGGAAATGTAAGGCCAGTTACCCTGTTGAACACCCTACGTAAACTTCTTTCATTGGTCATCCTGACGCGGATCAAGCCAGCTATCAACGGGTACTTGTCACTGAACCAGAGCGGGTTCCGGTCAGGGAGAAATACTGGAGACGTGGTATATAGCTATCGGTGGTTATCAGCAAGATGCCAGCGTGTTGCGTCGGAGATCTCAATCTTAGGCATTGATATGTCAAAGGCATTTGACACTATATCAAGGGTCGGGCTGATCGATGTACTGTCAACAGTCATTGATCATGATGAGCTGCACATCATCCAGTGCCTTCTGACAGACACCACAATAAAAGTAAAGCTGAATAACATTCTCAGCCAACCATTAGTCACACATAATGGAACCCCACAAGGTGATTCTCTATCGCCAGTCCTGTTTACTGTCTACCTCGAGGCTGCATTGAGGTTGATTCGAGAGCGACTCTCACCGCGACCAGCATTGGATATTCAGCTTCAATTGCCCAATGAAACAGCGTATGCGGATGACGTAGACTTCATCAGCACCAGCCTACAATATTTGCATGACAATCAACCCATACTATCATCCTCGTTAGCGGAATACAATTTAAAAATGAATGAAGCCAAAACCGAATATACTACAATTAAAAGAGAAAAGGACAGAGTAGACGAGCGATGGCGGAACACGGTCAAACTAGGATCGATGCTTGGAGTGGAGGAAGATATCAGTCGGAGAAAACGTCTAGCAACATGCGCCTTACATCAGCTGTGGGTGATATGGCTAAGAGGTAACCATGCCCGTGAACCCCTTCGGATTAGGTTATACGGCAGCTTTATTCTCCCAATACTTCTTTATAACTGCGGCACATGGAGCCTGACAGAGACTCAAGAAAAGAAACTTGACTCGTTCCACCGCCAGCAGTTACGAGCAGTCATAGGGGTCAAATATCCCCGTATAATACGCAATGAAGCACTGTACAAGCGCACTGGCTCCAAGCCACTCAGCAGAATCATCCAGTCTGCTAGGTGGAGAATGTTTGGCCACATGCTTCGACTAGACACCTCATCCCCGGTCCAGCAGGCTATGTCAGCATACTTTCAGCCAGGAAGCTCAGGGTTCCGAGGCCGCCCGAGAACAACACTCCCGCGATCCATCAACAACGACCTGAAAAATTCCAGATCCACAAACTCCCTCACATCACACGAGGATCTAGTTGCACTGAGGCAGCTCGCCCAGGATCGTCGAAAGTGGAAGGAACTAATGTGTGCTGTGTGTAATGGCTGAAGTTATACAATTACACTAGATACCCTTAACAATAATAACGGATACAATTACACTAGATACCCTTAACAATAATAACGGATACAATTACACTAGATACTCTAGATACTAGATACTCGGTACTCTAGATACTAGATACTCTAACAATTTTATCAAACATTATGATAATTACCACATCAAATGCTGCGGAGACCTATCCAGAATCGGCAATATGCTGGCCCTGGCCTGGAGATCTGCAACTATAATCAGCTTCTACTTTGCAACACTAACGGATTAGTCCCCTTTTGTCGATTGATGGATCAATCGGTAGATTCGGCTCTGTTTTTCTTCCCTTTCTTTCTTGTTTTGAATTGTACGTTGAACTCATTGGATTTCTTTGTATTCTGTATATCGTTATCGTTATATTTCCCTCTAGCCCTCTCGCTTAGGATGAGCTTTCTTTTTTATGGCAGCTTAAGCGAAGGCTATATACCTGCTTTATGCAGGTTGATGCCAACGCGAACAAGCAAAATAATAATAATAAATAATAATGGCACGGGGTTTAAAAAATCGGAGCATGGTCGGAGGCAGGAGCATAACTCCTTGATTGAACTACTTCATTATAGATCTACAGTAAAACCTGTAACTAACGACCACCGTGACTAGCGACCGGCCTGGTACTACCGACCACTTTGTCAGGCACGGACGGTCTCACATTCAAAATGCACTGTGACTAGCGACTACCTGCTGAACGCGACCAGCGACCGCCTTTTCTTGTCCCAATGTCGAATTTTGACCCGTAACTAGCGACCGCGATGTAGCAAATCAAACATTGCTTGAAGCTCCTTCTCGAAATTTTGATGATTTTCCATGGTCGTTTCGATACTACAGCTGGACAAATGAGCGCAGTCTCATTTTTACTGTGGAATCAGTGTGGATTGCACTACACCTGTCATAATTTCAAGTGCTGTCAAGAACAAACATGATAGGAAACGTCTTGGAGAACGCATCCAAAGCGCTCTTTGATCGATGTTACTACTCGAAGGAGAAACTAAGACTGAGCGGCTCTCTGTCGAAGTGCAATCACACAGCTCAGTCACCAGACTCACCACTACACCAGGTCACACTGACACTGACAGTCTGTGCTGGCTAGCTAGCATGCTACCAGGGAGTCCCGAATCCCTGCATGCTACGGTATTATGTACTCACCTGTACGGAACACAGGCCAGTGAAAGGTGCGAAAACTCGCAACATCGCCGCATCATGTACTGGTACACACCAGTACAGTTTACGCTACACTACATCCAGTGAGTCGACATATCGCTTCCGGTGTATAAAAAACTTGATTTTCTCTCTCTCCAAGTGTTGTATGATCTGAAAGAAGAATGTCAGTGCGCAAGTGGTGGGGGATTGTATTATCTGCATTTTGACATACATATCATATAATGGGATCCATATACATGTATGGTCGCGCGGTGCAAACCTCTAACTAAAGACCGCCTGCCACTAGCGACCACTTTTCCGGGCACCAAGGGGTGGTCGTTAGTTACAGGTTTTACTGTACATTGTACTTCGAGTACATACTTCAAAGCACAAGTGTACATACTTCAAAGAACATTATTATAATGCTCGAACGTATGGAGGTGCTGAACAAACGCTGAGGACCGCGCGTGGGCCATTCACAACGTTGTTGCCTCCAAACCATCTTATTCGCAAGCCCGCACCGGGGACAACAATGTGAAGAAGAGGTTGGTGCGACTTCGGCGATACTTGAGCGACACTATCTGGTGTTCACGAGGTGTTTGTCGTGCTGGACACGGAGCATCTCTGTAAGTTTGTATCCCTGGTGATGTTTGCGCCTGGAGAGCACTATAATAATAACTTATAAGTGGTGCTCTTCAGGCACAATCTTCCTCGGCCTACTCAAGCTCAACTGATGATGGGATGACGTTGCCACGTACATGTATATAATAATATTATGCATAATGTAACAAAGATTACACAGCAATGAAGCAGACAAATCTTTTCGGCTGTTACTCGGAGTTTCGTGTGAAAACACTCATCAGACAGTATAATATTATGATTGTATAACGTTAGATTGAAATTACACCTTTACTAGAACTGTTTTCACCTTAAACGTCTCCGGGTATGCCATTTTTCTATGCAGAAAGTGTGCAGTTGCGCCACTTTTATCCTATACATAATATACTCATTATTTTACTTGTTATTAATAATTCGTCATCTATCTCCACTGAGGAGCGCTCAATGTGAAACAGCTGTTGGTTAGTGTAAGTTATGGAACATATTTCCAATAACGAACTTCCTCACTATGGAATGGTGACTATGGGCCAGGAGCGCAGTGAGGGAGGTGGACAGCTTCAAAATATTACATAACATACAGAAGGTTGAGGGAGTTGAATAAATATTCAGAATAATTTCTTCACATCAACACTGTACTCCTGTTTGCACAGTCGTTGCACAGGGTATCTTGCTGAGAGAGCCCAACATGTCACCTCAGTTGATTTTGTGGAACAGTTTGTGGAGAAGAACCGTCAGATCAATGGCGTGCAACATCCCAACATCACCTTTGTGTGCAGCGATGCCATGAAGCTGGACTATGAGGAGAACTCGTTTGACATTGTCTTCTCTAACTGGTTACTGATGTACATCAGTGATGCTGAGCTGGAAGAGCTAACCAAGAGAATACTCAGGTAAGCTGGTCACCTCTTTTGCATTGCTACCCATTCCTGGCATGTTGTTTCACACGGTGGATTTAACCAAGAGACTGCTCAGGTACAGGTACGTTGGTCTCCACATACATGTACATGTAGCTTTGTAACACATTCTTTGCTGTTGCATACAGTGCACAAACCATGCTGTCACTTTCGGATGTATTTCTCTTTCAGTGGCGTTTTGCTGCTGTGTGCGATTTAAAGACAGACGACTATTATGAATTCAGTTGCTCTTACTACGGGGAACACAATACTATCACTCCGTACATGTACGTCCTGGCGAACTTGACACTTGACAGTGACTCACGGCTCGCTCCGTCCCATCGGCAAACCTGCAAGAAAGGACCACTCACTGCTCGATACAGAGTTTCGGGGAACTAACCCCTCATTAATCGAGCTTGAATGTTGTGCTCTGGGAACAGTACATTTAATTGTATAGAGCTCGTGTAGACCAAACACTATTAGGGGTACAAACATACTACAGTGAAGTGCCATTTTCCAGCGGGATAAACACCTCGCGAGGCCCCAGGGTAGCAGCGTGAATTAGAGTCGCTCATGGAGTGGTGCAAAACCAGACACTGAGAGCCTGGTCTCTCACGGCCATTACTCTCCGTCTGTAATCTCGGGATCTACCCAGGCTCTCATGTTAACTATACAATGGTCATATTATTTTTATAAGTCAAGGGAAGGTATCGGTCTTTCTATTGTACTAGTACATGCAAGTCTTTCTAATTGTTGCTTTATCCTTGGTAGGTGGGTGAGGGTTGGAGGTCACGTCTTCTTCCATGAATGCTGTTTCCGTCAGTCTGGTGATTTTCCAGGAGGTGCATCTAACCTGCCCACCAAGTACAGAGATCCAAAGGTAAACATTGCTCACCCATTCCCAATGAACAAAACGCCAAGAATCTGAAGAAAAAGACTCAATCCAATTCTTTGTTGCAATAACGGGAACTGAAACCCAACACAAATCTGAGAAGATGGCAGTTGGCGGCCACGTGGCAACAAAATCACCAAACGTAAGCACTAACAATGTTGAAACATGGTTGCAGGAGACAAACTACAAGTAAGCAAGCAACGCATACAAAGAAACAATCAGGCATATCGTCTAGGCCACTGACCTAAAGCCTATGAATTTACCTGACATGCAATTTTGCTGATGTGGACATGGGTTGTTTTCTGGACGTTTTCTCTTGGTGTGCGCGGACAGCAATATCATCACGTGTTTGAGACGACATGCTACGAAAGCAGTGCATCGTCTGGTGCGTTCAGGTATGAGCTGGACTTCTCGCGATCTGTGGGTCCATATTTGCAAGTCAATAACAACCTATATCAGATGTGCTGGAGCTGGAGCAAGGTGAGGAAATGGTGTGCATTCAGTACTGCACCGTCCGCTCTGGAATATTACCAGCTAAGGGTTAGTGAAGGTTGTGGCCGGTTTCTGTTACGGAACAAGTGAATTTGTTTGTTTGTTTAGCTTTATTTAACTTCACTATAGGCACAGGCAAAATCTGCTTTCTCACTGGGCGTATTGCCACAGTTCTCACAAAAATTAATGATGAAGCGGGGGGGGGGGGGGGGGGGTATTTACCAGGGAGTGCTCAATGCTTTGTTAGGTGACTGTTTGAAGGATTCGTCATGACGTGTAGTGATGGTTGCAGTACCAGGCAATACCCAACAAGTTATTCTCAAACACATTATCGGGCACCAGTATATTATTCGTCGGAATACAGTGTCCATACGTGATCATTGCAGTCCCAGCTAGTATTCTTTGCTTGATTGCATTGAGTTGTTCACTAGTGAATCTGGAATCATGGCATCGAGTGCGCAGTGTGTATCATAATGCTGCCCTCTGTGTAGGTGTTAGTGGAGAAGAAAGCACAGTCGAATGGTGATTCGTACGACTCCCAGTCCATGCGTCGGTTCCTGGACCAGGAGGAGTACTCTGTCAATGCTATTCAGTGCTATGAGAAGATGTTTGGCAAGAACTATGTCAGTACCGGTGGACTTGAGACGACAGCTGTAAGTCTGATAATGATGTTATGGTGCCAAGTGAAGTTGGTGGACAAGCCGTTGGTTAGCCACTCTCATTGTAAAATCGAAAAAGGTTTTCTTTTAGACCAAGAGTGGTGTTATGCTTAGTAAGCATACACCCTACAGTAATCTTCTTCACTGGCCCTGAAAGCATTGCCTGATAAGTTCTCAATGCCAGCAAAGCCCTGTTGTTATTACTCATTATGTAGGATAAACTGTAACACATGTAGTTTTCCTCACTGTTTATTTCTATTGCATGATTTGCATCAGGAGGTCCCTCGACAGGCCATCCATCGCCTCTGGGAGATCCTTTAAATACAGATTATTATTATGTGTCCTTGCCAGCATTTCTTGTCCGGCTTTCAAAGGCTAGTAACGCTGACAAGCTATTGAGACTCAGGCATTGTTCTTGTAGACCACTCATCACCTTTCAGAAAGTGGTACAGAAAATAGTGGGTACAGGGCATTATTCTCACCGAACCGCTAATAACTATTATGGTTTGTGACATTCGCTGATGTTGAATGTCTGATTCAATTCTGCCTTTCTCTCCTCATAGGAATTTGTCCCGATGCTACATTTGCAGAGGGGTGAGAAGGTGTTGGATGTTGGATCGGGTCTGGGTGGATGTTCTCTGTACATGGCGGAGAACTATGGCGTGGATGTGGTGGGTCTGGATCTCTCTACCAACATGGTGCACATTGCTCTTGCACGGGCGGTCAACTGCTCAGCAGGATCGGTATGTGTATGCGTACGCTAAGAGTAAGACACATTTGCCAGCCTCTTTCCTCCCAAGGCGTACCTGTGTATGTGTGGGTAATAAGCTATGGTCACGTGATCACGGTTACAATGCCAGGCTAACGGTTCTAACTAGGAACTGTTGATTGTTTTGCTGCATCTGGGCATTGAGCTCAGCTGCAATATTTTTATAGTCTCTTGTTTCATATTGGCTCTCACGTCAGCCGTCAAATTTACTGAAATTAATTTCATCATCGTTCTTTTGCAGGTATTGTATGAAGTGTCTGACATTACAAAGCGTCAGTTTCCGGACGAGTCCTTTGACGTCATTTACAGCCGAGACACTTTGCAGTATGTTCCCGGCAAAGCGGAAGTTATCAAGAAGTTCTTTGTGAGTGCCTAAACATTATTATGTACTTGTACATGTACATGTATTTTATTTATTTTATTTATTTATTTCTGCACCTCGTGGCATGTCATTATACGTATGTTACATTGTTTAAGTTCGCTGCCCTCATGACATACGTACTGGTAACACACTAACAGTGCCCTTCGCATGCACATCAACTGGTGCATACATGTATGACAAACACTACAGACTCTGTACCAGTATGCAGGTTACATACATGTATCCTTCATTATGAGGTAGGCATTACCTGGTTGGAGGCTTCGTTATTTTAGAAGGTTCAATCGATGCCATTTATATTGTCATTTTTGGAGGTATAATTATTCTATATTGTGTGGAGTCAAATCACATGATGTCATTGTTGGAGATGACATGCATCCTGTGTGGACTGTGGAGTGTGGAGTGACATCATTAGGAGTGATTTGCCAGTTGCCACTCGTGACAAACTTATACAATACATGTACAGTAGGTATCGGTTATAGCGTGGGTGTTTGAAAACGATTTTTTCTATTCTTACATGTATTTCCGATATTTCTTACACGCGATAAATATAGTGTGACTGTGACGTATCATATGCATGTGCGCATAGCCAGGAAGATCATCATACATGTCATGTAAATGTACATGCAACGTAGTGCTGCTGTGTATGCGTTTGCTCGTACTTCCAAAGTAGTCCCACACTGGGCCGTAGCCTGCATAGGTTCACTGTGTGGCTGAGCAACATGACGTCATGAGTAGTTATATGACCACAACAGATGCACTTGCAGCATTATGATGCAGTTCGAGTCGGTTCAGAACTGTATCGGGCAGATGTTATCATGGTTATTACTACAGGCGATGATACACTTTGTACTAATCTGGCATGTTTTGCTACACAAAGTCCATTCTTAGGACCGATATATTCTATTACACGGTAACATTGCTTGTAAGAATAAATATACACATGAAACCCAGGTTATGATTATGAAAACATGAGAGTTCATTCTTGTAGGCAGTATATTCTTTTACACGACCACACTATAACCGATACGCACTGTACATGACATCATTCAAATAACCTCAAAAGCAAAGCACACTCATACATGTACCTCGGTTATCCGGACACCGAAGTTACGGTCGCTCCGGTCTACCGGGCACCATTCAGGCAAGTTTTAGTGGAAATACTAGAGAGGTTGCACACAACAAAAAATCGCAGTACCGTAACGAAAGTAAGTTTTAGCGAATACTCGAAAACCTTGAGGTTGCACACAACGTGTGAACTTTTACGTGGCACGCATTCAGGTTCGCTCCTGCAGGACCAAGAGAGTTGTAAAATATCAGTATTTTAGTACTCAATGCAACGAAACATGTACATATACATGTACATGTAGTTTCGGTAGCGTTTGAGCAACTTTTCGTAGCAACTTTCGTTACTCGAACCTGGAGTCCTGGGCGGTCAAGATCTTACAATTGTTCGTTGTGCGCAACCGCTCTATTACTGCTCTGTTGTTACTTTTAGTGGAAATAGTGACATCACATGCCATATCTCTTGCCTTTCCTCATCATTGATTGAAAAGTATGTGATTTGGGGTTACACACATTCCAAAGTTACATGCAGTGCCCGGTCCGGGACCACCCGGATAAAACGACGTGCGGGTATTTTCCCAGGATGGTATTTGTACCGAAAATGTGTTCTACTGCATTTTAGAATCACGGTTTGAGCCATGCTATCCATCTTTGTTTGCCCAGCGTTGGCTGAAACCTGGTGGCCGTATTTTGATCTCAGAGTTGTGCTATGGCGAGGGAGAATGGAGCGATAGTTTCAAGACGCATGTTGAGCAGCGACACCTCGCAACGCACAGTGTCAAGCAGTACGAACAGGTAATCGCCAGGTGTTGCTTGCATTTTGACGTCTTCGGATGTAGATCTAGTACATATAATTGTAGTGTAGATCTTGCATGCAGTGATCACGTGCCTGACCGTCCATTTTGCATACTAAAGAGCATGCGCAAGGCACGGTTTGTGCTGGGGTTCTTTTTTTGGGGGGAATTCTGGAGAATTTTTTCGATGTTTTGGGAGAAATCTTTCGAAGTTCCGCGGGAAATGCCCGAAAGCATAATATCGGTTGCGTGCGAGCATAATCCGCGCACCCCTACAGCGAGGCGCTTTGGCCTCGAATTATTCTTTACCCTGAGAGTTGTGGCAACTGCTAGAAAAGTGCTCCTGCAAGCGCAGAGAGCAGGGCTTTTTGAATCAGACAGGGGTCCAATAGAACCTGGTGTGATCTCGTGCATATACTTCGCAAACTGACAGTTTCATACGAAAGCACTGAGTCGAGAATGATGTCTTATCTAGGATCAATGTGTCTCCCCCCCCCCCCCCCCCCTGTGTAGATTCTTTGCGATGCTGGCTTCGCGGACGTTGTAGCGGATGATCGCAGCCGTAGATTCTGCGAGCGTGAAACCAAGAGAGCATCTGTGGAGCGGAGCGAACTGGTCAAGGTATGATCATACGCTCGGAGTAAAACGTTTCAAGTTGTGAGTGTCATGCTGCGCGTCTCATCTTTCTTGATGTGTGTGTGTGTGTGTGTGTGTGTGTGTGTGTGTGTGTGTGTGTGTGTGTGTGTGTCTTGAGTGGATGGGCGATAACATAATTACTTTCTGAAGTAGTAGTAATATTGTACGTGCGTATGCAACGCCTTTGCCTATGGCACCGTGCTTAGAATGAGCACTTTACTCAATTTCAGTGTTCGATCATGAAAAATAGAACAAAATCGCAGACATGAACAGATGACCCCTGTAGCAGTAGTTCATGCAGTAGACTAGTACTTTTTTTAATTATTTTACTAGGGGGAGTCCCAACAGGCTACTGCCTTTTTACTGGGAACCCTAGGTGAAGTTTAACCATGTTAATGAACAGAGCAAGAGAGTGGGCCTGTCGACAGTCAGCTGGAAGAGAGTTCCATCTGCCAGCCGCCAGAAAAGAAATAGAGCGCATGCCATACTGCGTATAAAAAAGTGGGAGAACTAAGGCTCTTTGTGCCTTGCCCTGGGTGCATGCCTGGTGACCAGGTGCAGTTGCCCGAAGCTGGTACAAAGACTGAAGAAGAGGACTAGCAAGATGCTGGGCCAAGCAGCGGTACACAAAAACATAGAGCTTGAGGCTAATATGCTGTTCCAAAGAATAGAGGCGGTATAAGCGAAGAACTAGTTCAGTGGGCGTGGTACGATCGAGTCCAAACACTCTCTTCACTGCTATGTGACTAACGGTCACAATCCTGTAGGTGATTCTTAAACAATTAGCAGATTCTGCTTGGGAGCGAGAGATGGTTAGAGCACTCCCCTTTATTCACTGATAGGAGACTGGAAAGAACAGATCCAAACATTCATATACCTAACTATCTATACTTTTTCTAATAGCACTTTGTCCTCTATTTCCCACCTTAACCACAGGAATTTGGCGAAAAGGACTATGAAGACCTTGTCACGAAGTGGAAGGCCAATATCGAATGGATCAATGCTGGTGAACAGTGCTGGGGCGTCTTCTTCGGGCGCAAGCTGTTAGCCAAGACAGGACTAGTTAATGGTAGCTGAGGACTGCATGCATTTTAATACTGGCGTGCAGCCACTTCTGGCTGCTTGTAAATCATTCTACTAGTTAGAGATATTTCCACATTCTTTGCGGCAACGTTACTCCTGTCAATTCTGCTGGAATATCCTCCCTTCCGAAGATGACTACACCTTCTAAGCAACATGACAGCTTTAAAATGTTACCTACTGGTAGTGTTTCCCGCAAGCTGCTACATCTGTTTAGCTTGTTTTGACATACTCTGCCATAGTACTGGGTTTGGACTGCGTTTTTCCAGGTTGCCTTGGAAACGGAGACGAGAAAATGTAATTTATTTTCCGGGAGTCTTCTTTTCTTTTTGCAGTGCTTTCTCTTACTCCAATTTCGGCTGGCTCGCTCTTTGCTTTCCCTTTCCGTATTCTAAGAACTCCAAGTTGCTCGCGTGTGGATCTGTTGTCACGATTTGTTCAATCTCTCCAAAGCATGTCGAAAACACTGGCAAACGCATAGAGAGCAGGTGCGTACCAACCACCCTGGAGAAAGAGAAACTGAACATTGCATAGAGCTTAGCAAGAGTTGTATGTATGCTTGCTGCTTGCTATGCCAATCACCTGCCCCCCTCCCCCCCCCCCCCCCCCCCTGTCATGACCAATGCATGTCAACTTTACGGTTCACTCATGGGCATCACTGTGTGATTCACTGATTACTGAGGGTAACTTGAAGACAGGAAAATATAAGTCACCTCACTCTTCTCAGATGTTTGGTGTGGGCCTTGTTCAAGTTTTTGGATGTGGCAATGTACCATTGCTAGTGAAGTGGTGAATTGCGTATCGGAGCTTCGAGCTTCGATAATTATAACAGTGAATGTTGAAAGCGTTAACGCCATTATAAGTAATAGGGAAAAGACAACGGACACGGAGAACGTGAAAAAGAGGCATGAGCCATAGCATATTCTCATCATGATCCACCACTTTTTGCGATGCGGTGAACGATATGCAACACAATGACTATGTACATGTATATATACACACAAAAGGCACAGCGGAGGTTTACAGATTTGTCGCAACTCAGAGTTTCTTGCTCAATGCAATCATCAGGCGACATAGTGCTCCACATGTTTTTTTTGTTTTTTTCTATTTTTTAAACTATACTTCGGCCAGTATGAGCACTATTTATATTATTATAAGCACTATCGCGATGTAAGCGGGGATGCCTACTTCACTTCTGCCATTCAGGATGATGATAAAGAGAAAGACAAACAGAAAGCTCAGAATCTTGAGGAACAATGCTGTAGAGCAGAATGGCTGTGATCGATTGGATGCACTACAGTCTACAGAAAGGTGAAAAATATTAGTTCATTGGTAATAGCTGGTGAGTTGTCTCATCATCGTATGAGCACTGTACTACAGATACAATATTCAACTCCCTCATCGCTTAACTGGACGATGGTAGGCCGAACGTGCACCGCGGATGCACATTACATGCACTACTACAAAATTCACTTCGTCTTCCGGTACATTATTCTTATTATTCTTATTATTCTCGTATCCGTCCCGAATGGGACTCACGACGGCAGAATTAACCGTGAGCATGTGTGTGTGAGAGTGGGAGAACGAAATGAAAAAGAAAAGAAGAGTCTTGTAATAAAGGTCAAATTTAAGAAGAGCAGTACTAGACTAAATGGCTGAGCAGATGTTACTCCATTGTTTTCTGTCGCGGGCATAGGTGCCGAGATCACGAAGGCAGCTGGGCTTAAAAATGCAGATAGGTGTGAGGCGGACGTCTCGCTGGAGACTTGTGGTGAGGCAAGAGCGGGGTGCACCTATTCCGGTACATGTAGGGCATTACTGTCATTAGCTGGGCTAAGCCTTAAGTTATGGTCTGTCAGCAGTTGCTAACAGTCCACACTCTCTCTTTACGGAGAGGGAACATTGATGAGCATCCACTTGATGGAATCGACGATCAAGTACTAGTACTTACTGTACTTGATGACTTGATGAGCCCAAAGTGGCAAAACTGCAAAAGAGACAGGTGGGACATGGGGCGAAGATTGAGTCCCGACAGAGTAACATCAGTTCCAGGTGGATGATCTCTTCCCTTTGGAATATGCTGCATAGCCTGTGGTGACGGCCTCGCTTCCTCAGGCAATGCCAATACGCCAGCTGGATAGAGGATTGGCGGACTGCGCTAATCCAAAGCGAAGAAAGCTATTGGAGCGGACTTCAGATCCCTCAAGGAAAGTTATGGAATTATCAATACTGACTGACAATAGGTCTCCATACATTTATGGTAACACTGCATGCTAGTACATGACCGTAATCAAAGACAAGTGAAAGCGACGCGGTGTGGAAACATACAACTGGTGCAGTGGTGGTAGATCAGTTTGCAAGGACTGTGAGCTGGTGAATGAACACATTTCTAGCGCTAGCGATATCTCACACATCCGAATCGAACATGTCCGTGATGGTGGCCTTGGCGCCTGACAACGAGAAGCAGTGTGAATCTATCTGGACGCCGGCTTTCGCTACAGCTGACCCAACGGAGTACATGGCCCTCAATGCGATAGGATATCGACCCGCTTGTCCGGAACTGCCAAGCTACTGCAATACAGTATTGGACTGTGGAGCCCTGTTTGGAAACACTTCATTGGCGTGCATGTACGGATGGGATTTCAACCGAGCGTGTGAGTTTTGGAAAGCTGGAGTTGCGCTGAGTGAGGAAGATAGGCAGCGCACACTGCTCAACAGGCGACTGAAAATGATTGGACTCGACGTCATGCCGCTGGCACTTGACTATGCCAAGAAAATGAACATCCTGGACGAAACCATCGTGCAGGACTTCCGAGAGACGATGCTGGATGAGACGAGAGCAGCGCTGCAGGATTCAGACGTCTGGATCATCCAGCAGTGCATTCATTACATGCCCAGGGACAATCTGAGTCAGTGGATGAACGGATCGCACGCGGCCGAAATGTTTCATGTACGATGTTCACGCAGATTACGACACACGGAACATGAAGCCGGAGACTTTGTTAGAGAATGTTAGTGGCTACTCGTACACTGAAACGTCACATCTTTTTCGCGAGTGGACGATTGAAGACCAAGTGGATCATACAACACAGGACGTCGACGGTGCAGATGGAAAGTGTGATGGCAGGTACCTTACCTATTTTGTTGTGAATTTTGAAGCATTCGGTTCGGCCACCTGATCCAGCAAGAGTGCAAGGAGCAAGCCAGGTACTACTAGTACAGTGTAAATGACATACTAACTTGTACCTGACCAGTTCTTGCCAGTCACGTGACTGGTATTTCTTGCAGCTATGTCACATACATGTGTATGTGTCTGCCAATAGCATGTACATGTACATGTACATGTATGTGTCATGCAAGTAATGTCTTCTTCCTGAATGTTCGAAGCCTTTTTGCAAACAATAATTGTCTGTACAAGTACATGTGAAAATGGGCTACTAGTATAGTACCCATTTTATTTTATTTTTTCTTGTGTAGCTTTCCACTACGTGGTTCGCGGCTGCAGTTATTATCATCTATTCTCGTATTACTATTACTAGGTCACTTCGCCACTATACATGTACATGTATGTACTGTATTCAGCGTCACTGACGTCAGCTGTAATGATTTTCTGTATTCAACCTTTTCCTGTGCTATTTGTTGAAGTAGATAGTTGGCATTTTTGTAGTCAGCCATTTCCTGAAGTAAATAGCTGACATTTCTAGTGTTTTTAGGATTGTCTTATTTATTCCTTTTTGCCTAGTCTGCAGTTGCATCCGTGTGTACTCCTCATTGGCTTTGCTCGTTCCTCTTTTCTTTTGTTCATTTTGCCTTATGCGAAGGCTAGCCAAGCTTGCTTGGTGATGTCAACGCGAACAAGCATAATAATAATAATAATAATAATAACCTTCAACTGAAGGCATGATTATGGCAGCACAAGACCAATCCCTCAAAAAGAAAAATTACCAATACGCCATAATGAAGTCAATTGCTCGAACTGATGCCAATTGCAGGCTTTGCAAGGGCAGCTTAGAAACAATTGACCACATTGTCAGTGCCTGCCCAGTTCTTGCTCGGACCAGTTACATTGAACGACATAACCGGATAGTAAAGTATGTGCACTTCGAAATGTGTAAAGCACGAGATCTACCTACTGGTGCTTGACGATTCGACCACCATCTCAAGGCATTGGTCAAGAGTGATCAGTATCGCCTCTATTGGGAGTATTCGGTCCCAACTGACCTGAAACTATCAGCAAACAGGCCCGATCTGCTCCTTGTTGATGACAAGGAGCGCATCGCCTACATTATAGACATCAGCGTTCCTGGTGAGAACAACATCAATAAGAAAATGGCTGAAAAGCGCTCGAAATATTATGATTTGAAGCGGGAGATTTCGAGGATTTGGTCCCTCAACCAGGTTGACGTGGTCCCTGTGGTTGTCGGTGCCCTGGGAGGCTTGGTGGGGGAGACTCCTCAATGCCTTCGGACTGTGCAGGGAGGAGACCTGGCTATTGTGCAACAGGAGGCTATACAAGGTTCGATTAAAATACTGAGAACTATCCTTAACATGTAGATGCATCTCTGCTGCGTTTGCATGTTCAATAGCTAAGAGACTTGAATAACGACTGATAAAGACTGATATTTCCTTTGTTACTACTCCCTTCATTGGTTGATGTATTTTGCCTGTCGCTGCAAATTCTTTATTATTGTTTTGATGTTGGAGTTCGGATTGAGTTTCTTTCCTTTCTTCCTCTTCCTTCAACTAGTTCTTGTCCCTTTGGTTTTAGGTTTTATTTATTTATTTGTTTTTGTTTTTGTTTTTTCACTTTCTTTTTTGCTGTCCCACCCATGGAAATATTTCCCGGTGGGTCTGACTTATCGCCTTCGAAAGAAGTGAATAAAGGAGAAATAATAATAACTGGTTTGAGGGAAAGAGACAAACGGGAAAAGTCTGAAGAAGAAATTGACTGTCACCACCAGGACTCGAACCAGGGACCCTCGCTTGTAGCCAGCGATGCTCTAACCACTGAGCTATGGTGTAGTCGTCATCCCAGCAGAGACTGTTCAACATTTTCTTCAGACTTCGTAACTCACACTTCCTGTGAATCCACACAGGCAATAATAATAATAATAATAATAATACGAAGTAGTGGTTGCGACTTCGGCGATGATTTGTAAGAAAGGTTTGCTCCCCACACCGGAGCTCGCGCTATTCCGCCGACTTTACTTGACACTTGACTGACTCACGACTGCCATCCAGAGCACACGAGAAGTCCATCGAACCTTCGACTCGGCAAACCTGCAAGAAAGCACCACTCCCTGCTCAATACACAGTGTTTCGGGGAATTCACCCCTCATCAGTTGAGCTTGAGTAGGCTGAGGAAGATTGTGCCTGAAGAGCACCACTTATATAGTGCTCTCCAGGCACAAACATCTCCAGGGATACAAACTTACAGAGACGCTCCGCTTCCAGCGCGATAAACACCTCGTGAACACCAGATAGCAGCGTGAGTCAGTGTCACGCGTCTCTGTAAGTTTGTATCCCTGGTGATGTTTGTGCCTGGAGAGCACTATATAAGTGGTGCTCTTCAGGCACAATCTTCCTCAGCCTACTCAAGCTCAACTGATGAGGGGTGAATTCCCCGAAACACTGTGTATTGAGCAGGGAGTGGTGCTTTCTTGCAGGTTTGCCGAGTCGAAGGTTCGATGGACTTCTCGTGTGCTCTGGATGGCAGTCGTGAGTCAGTCAAGTGTCAAGTAAAGTCGGCGGAATAGCGCGAGCTCCAGTGTGGGGAGCAAACCTTTCTTAATAATAATAATAAGAAGTCTGAGGAAAA